AAGCCAAACTGCTTGCCTACAGTAAGTCCTGGGTGCAGACACAGGGAGAGGGAAACAGAGGATAAAGGGGTAGTTTTAGAGCACGGACTTTCTGTCCAAGATCCTAACTCGCCTCTGGCAATAAAGACTCAGAGTCGATGAGTGGTGTCGTTCTACTAAGAGGAATCTTCGGCATGCAGGTCAAACAAACAGTGCTTTCAAAGTCCGCACTGGGAGCAACTGCCTCCCAGCGCTGTTTATACATACAGGCAATAAACCCTGCCCCCCCTCTAGCCAGCATCCGGCCATGCGTCCCTTAAAAGGCTACTGGCAATGCCCAAAAGCTCCTTCGTCCCGGGCTGCACAGCCCTATCCCACTCAGCTCCAGACTCAGCCATCTCCAGACCTTATGTTTGGCCCAGCCAGCTACAGGGCATTAGCTCTGCCTGTAGCCCGGATGGCAAATGTCCCAAGGAATGCCGCCAGAGCTCTCAGCTGCTCCGAGGCCCAAAGAACGCTTGCAGCTGGGATGCAGCCGGCTGTCAGCTGTTTGGCGGCCAAGCTTGCTGACGACTGGACTCAGGTGGTTTCGCCGGCGCTGGCTGCCATTGGCGTCTTCTGCCCTGCGCGCCATCCTTGCCCTCCCCCCCCACCTGTCTATGTCGAGCCTGGAGGGCTTGACACCCACCTCACAGGGTTGCTGTGGAGAAAATAGGAGGAAGAAGGAATATTTGGTATGTTCATTGCCCTGAGTTATTTGTAAAATAATAAAAGTGGGATATAAAATATATTACAGTATGTACCTAAATTAGTGGATAAGATAAGGCTTGGCCTGCTCCTGTCAGTTCTTTTTGCTGGAGGAATGTGCTACTCGTTAAGTGCACATGAGGTATCTCAGGGTGGGAAAGGCCATGGGGGGGGGCTAGTGAGGAACAGGCCCTGAAGGCCTCCCCAACCCACTAAGATACCTTATGTTTCCCCCTCCCTTCCTTTCTGAGCAACTCCGATGCCATGCTTTGCCCCATAGGCATGCAAATGAAGCAAACACTTCTCCCCCCAAAAGAATGGAAGCTTCCGGGGGGGGGCATGAGCTCTTTTACAGAGAATGGGTGTTTGAACTTGTGCGAGAACACGGACCCCAGAAACTTCCACTGTCGGGCATGAGAAGCATTTCAAAGGGAAAGAAACCACAGCAGAGAGGAGACAGATCTTTGCAAGATAAGTGAGTCCAGCGTGGCAGGAAGTGAGGGGGAAGCAATCGTGGGGAGTGGGGGGGGGAAATAGGGTGAATGTTGCAACCATTCATAAGGGCGAACAATTGCCATGGTGCTGCACCATTCGTAATTTTGGGAGTGTCTCATAACCACTAGAGGGTGCTTGTCACGTAACTTCAAACAGACACTAATGGGAATTACCTGTATTATATTATGGTCCAGAAAAGCACAGAGTCCTGCTGTATGGCTTAAATCCTGCTTTAGCAAGAGAGTGAAAGTAAAACTTCCAGATTAGCAGTTACAGAGATCCAGCATGAAGCTCTTGATTAAGCAACAGCTAGGCTCCAGCTGAGCAACATTGTGTAACAAAGGAGCAGCAGCTAGAGAGATAGGACATCTTGTCCTTATGTATCATTATAGCCAGGATCCAGAATAGGGTTGCTTCAAAAGGTTGCTTAATGAGTTTCTTCACCAACAACTCTGAGCTTATTTCTATCTATAGTACCTTCTTACGGTGGCAAACAGATATAAAAACCAACCATACAGATCCATTAAAGAAACTGGGTTAAAGCCCCTAAAAAAATCACATTATCAGCTTTTCAGATAAACAACATCCACATCAGAACTCCACAAACTTCCCAGTCCCTGTGCCTGGGGAAAGATTCAATTCTGGAAGGCCAGCAGGGTCAAGGCTATCTATAGTTAGGGAAAGGGAGGCTGTCCCACAGGACAGGCACTGTGACAGAATTGGTACACTTCTTGTATTGCCAATCAGGTTGCTCTATTCTGCTGATAGTATCCAGAGCATGTCCATTCTGCTTGATTTAATGGGATGATGAGAAGCCATCAAGGATAGGTGATCTTGATGATAATAATAATAATAATAATAATAATAGTTGGAAGGGTCCTTGGAGGTCATCTAGTCCAACCCCCTACTCAGGCAGGAAACCCTATACCATTTCAGACAAATGGCTGTCCAGTCTCTTCTTTAAAACTTCCAGTATTTGAGCATTCACCACTTCTGGAGGCAGGTTGTTCCACTGGTTAATTGTTCTCACTGTCAGGAAGTTTCTCCTTAGTTCTAGGTTGCTTCTCTCCTTAATTAGTTTCCATCTGTTGCTTCTTGTCCTGCCTTCAGGCGCTTTGGAGAATAGCTTGGCTCCCTCTTCTTTATGGCAGCCTCTGAGATATTGGAATACTGCTATCATGTCTTCCCTCGTCCTTCTCTTCATTAAACTAGACATACCCAATTCCATTAACCGTTCCTTATATGTTTTAGCCTCCAGTCCCCTGATCATCTTTGTTGCTCTTCTCTGTACTCTTTCTAGAGCAGACATGTCAAACTCGTGACATCACATGATGTTGCGCAACGTATCGGGACTGTTTTTGCCATTGCTGGCAATGGGGTGGGCGCGGCTTCCACGTGATGTGTCTGGCCCATGGGCCGGCAGTTGACACCCCTGTTCTAGAGTCTCAACATCTTTTTTACATCATAGTGACCAAAACTGGATGCAGTATTCCAAGTATGGCCTTACCAAGGCATTGTAAAGTGTAATCTGGCCCCATTCCAAGCAGAGTTTAAGGGTGATAACCAGCACCTTGAATTGTACCCAGAAGCCCAATGGAAGCCAGTGCAGCTCATGTAGCAGCAATGTTATGTTATGGGGTGCCCAATACTGCAAGTAATACTGCATTCTGGATCAATTGAAGCTTGAAAATACTCTTTAGTAATAGCCCCATGTAGAGCATATTACAATAATTCAGTTGGAAGGTGACCAAGGCATGAGTTACCATGAGCAGTGGCTCCCAATCTAGAAATGGGTACAATTGGCTCACAAGATGTAATTGTGAAAGGTGGCCTAGATAATGCCACCATTGCACCTCAGGCAGGAGTTATGAATTCAATACAATTCACAGATTATATACCAATTCTGCCTGGGGTGGTGTTACCTCATTCAAAGTTAATGATCAAAATCGCAAAATACTTAGGACATTAAAGCCCACAGCCATGAATCTTATCAGCGTTCAGCTGAAGTTGGTTCTTCCCAATCCAGGCCTATTACAGCCTCCAAGTACTGAGAAAGCACCTTGCAACATCATTTGGATGGCCCAGAGCAGAGATAAATGTCATTTTTTTAAACACTGGGTTGAAAGATGACCTAATATTAGTTTCCATGTTAAATAGGAGGAAAGACCTCACACCAAGAAGCATAAACCTAGAAATGGAATCTCCCACACCCAACAACTGGCACCATCTTCAGAGGAAGGAGAACCACGAAAAGCAGGTGGACTCTCCCTCTCCCACAAGGAAGCATTCAAAACTATTTCGGCCCAACTGAATGTGACTTCTTGGGAAGTCTTAACCAATCAGGAAATACACGCATCTAATAGTCCCAGGGCCATGACCATTCTCTTGGATGTCACTGAATTGAACTCAGCTCAGATAAATGTTCAGGAATAAGCAACGGCCATTTCCATAGAACCAGCAGAATGGGATGTCAGTTTCAAGTGAATTTCATCATACTGTCTTTTTATTATTAGGGTCTCAAGATCTGAAATTTGTTAGGGTACTTCACTGACTGTGGCTTCTTCACCTCTGAACACCCTTTGATGATGTATATTGAAGAGCATATACATCTTCTGGTTCTGGAATTTTACCATTTGTGGTACTGGATACGATAGCACTATCCAGACAGGCCCGCTAGTCTGGGTATCCTAGATACATCACTCCTGTTTGAGGAGTAGGTGGTAGTCATGGCTAAGAGGGCCTTTGCACAGCTTTCTGATGTGTGCCAGTTGCACCACTTCGTAGATTGTTAGGCTCTACTCACTATCACTCATACCCTAGTCACCTCCAGAATGGATTACTGTAATGCTCTTTACATGGGGCTGGCCTTGAAGAACATCTAGAAACTTCAGCTGGCACAGAATGTTGTGGCCCCTGCCCTCAGGAATGTTATCCCCTCCAGAGGAATAATATAGCCAGAGGTGAGGTTAGTCCCATCTCTGTTAACCTCCCAGAAGGCCCATGAAACATTTTTTTTAGATCCCATGGAGAGCTTGCAAGGTGGTTGTATGAGGTCACGTGACTGTTGCTTTCCTGTAATAGTTGGATTTTTTAAATTTTTATTTGTTTGATTGTTTTTTATTATGTAACTGTTATATAAAACTATTGTGTACCTTTGAACTGTTCGTATGTTTGTATATTACCCAGAGTCAAGTCTATGTGACATGGATAGTACTATAATGGCATGTTTTGCATTTCCCTTCTCTATATTGTCGCTGGAAGCGGGAAGATTAATTATATGATGATGTCACAGGGCTAAGTAAGAGATCCAACCTGTTATTGGGAAAAGGGAAAGAAGTTTACAGATAAATGCTTTAAGGAAGAATCCAAGGGTGACCCATGCTAAATTTGGGGAAATGATCAGAGTACTTTGTTAAAAATACAGTCTGGTAAATGTAACTTTGAGACCTTGGAAGACGGCAAGGAAAATGTGAAGAGGAGACCTAAAGAAGGTTCTACTCACAGCAGCCTGAGAGCATTAATCATTTTTCTCTTTCTAAACTCATTTATTTTCAGAACAGAAAAAAAAGGTGAAAGCACCAGGATATCTAATAAAGATTTTCCTTGCCTACCCCCCCCCCACTGCAGTTGCAAAATCTCTTCTTAATAAATTGACAACACATGCTTGGGACTTGTGTATGTTGTTGGTAATGTCCAATTGTTGTATCTGAGTATAACTATACAAATAAATAAATCATTGTAAAACATTAATATAGTCTTTCTTTCTGCAACATTCCTAGGGAGCTGGCATTAAGATTTTCGGTGACTCATCCCCCTGTGGTGGTAGTTTTAAAACCAAATGGTGAAGTCATTGACCACAATGCTGTGGAAGAAATCAAACAGCTAGGCACAGCTTGCTTCAAGAACTGGCAAGAAGCAGCTGATTTGGTGGACAGGAGCTTCCTTTTATCTCAAGACTCCGAGGATGTGACCCTGAGAAGTATCACTGATCCCATTCGGCGGTTCAAGTACAAACTAGCCAAGAACAAAAGGAAAATGAGAAGCAGAGATGGTGATAAGGGTCAAGTCTCCTGATGAGATGTTTCTTCTTCTTGGAACTTCAGGTTGGTGAACTTGAGTATTCCCAAACCATTGCCTACGAACAGGTATATGTGTCCATTAGATATCTACAACCGTATCAACCAGACACAGACATTTTTAATTGCAGATGTATTTCTAGTTTTGAAAATCTAAAATATTTTTTTCTAAAATCTAGAACTTGCAGCTATGATATTATTAAGTATGTATATTGTGTTTATTTGTAATTGGAGCCTGGAATGAATGTATGACATAATGCACTCAAAATACTCAATAGGTCTGGAAACACTTTGAAAATAATTTGGAAGAGCTTCAGACCTCACATGCACACAACATGTCTCTTTCTTCAGACTTTTTGAGGAGCCTGAAAAAACCTTGTCTATTGGAAAGGGTGAAATTATTAAAGTCACTGTGACCCTTAAAGAAGCTACAACTTTTAAAATATACTTTCGGCAGAATTCTGAAGATGAGTAGATGTTTTAATGAATAGTTGACTTGCCACAGATCTAAAGCACTTCTTCCAAAGACACTAATTTTACAAGCATGCATAGCTCTAGGACAGGAATGTCAAACTGCCGGCCCATGGGCCAGATACGTCATGGTGAAACCGCGCCCACCTCATTGCCAGCAATGGAAAAAAAGTTGCGATATGTCGCGACACATCACATAACATTGCGTGTTTGATACCCCTGCTCTTGGAGACCATCGGGGTTGCACTGAGATTTTTTTCCTGGAATAACAGCAGAAACCACACAAGATAAAAGTGAAAACAGCTTTGTTTGCATACTTTACCATAACACTTTTCATGCAGATCTGCCTTCTGAAAGAATCCACCAGCATTTCATTGTTTGAAACATCTCATTTAATTACAGTTGGGGAAAAACACTTTGTTGCCAACTCTCAGTATTTCTTTTGCTTTTCTGGCACCCAACTTTATCTCCTTGCCAGAGTCAGTGTTCTTAAGTTGATAGTCTTCCTAGTAAGCAGTTCTTTTTGGGCAGGCTGCCACTAATCCTTTTAGCAGGAGAGGAGGTTTTTCTTCCTAGATGAACCAGGAAGTCTCTGTATGTTGTAACTCTCAGGTTTGCAGTGACCCTAAACTCTAATTGCTTGTTTTGCCGGTAGGTGCCACTTAAGGGACTAGCCTTGCAATAGGCAGTATAGTCAAGCTTATAAAGGTGTTTTAAAAGAATAAATCCAAATATACAAAGCCTTATTGATAACCTAATACCATCTCTTCTCTACAATATTCTTGTTGGAATACATGTTATAATGTATTTTGTATTGCAACAGCTACAGAATTATTTAGCCAGTAGATGGCAGTGTTTAGTTTGCATCTATGGTTATAATCTATGATTTCTATAAATTCTGAGGAGTTTCTGTGACAGTTAAAAAAGCCCATTAAGCAGCAAAGCTCATGGTGACTGAACATTGTACACTTTATTTTGATCTGCCTGACTATGTAACCATCCTCTGCTACCATTTCTATAGAACAAAACAGAATTTCTATAGAATAAAACAGAATTTCTAATACTTCTCCATTACCTTTTTTTCATAGGAACTCTTGATTAAAGGAGGACCTTCCCACTTTTTTTCAGTCACCCATTGGCCATGCTCAACTTCCAAATAACTCTTTCTCGTAAGTGCTAACATCCTTTCTTAAGGACCCAATGAAGCCAGAATTTTAATTCTGTAGTACATCAGCCCATATAGCAATGCTATATTTTGATCAATGAAAATCTAACTGTTGTTTTTAGAGACTTATTGTACATTTTATTTTATCTGAAAATAGAAACTGTCCAGAACAGGGTTAGGCAGAATTTGGATTGGAGGAGTAACAATAGAATAGTGTTGTTTGTTAACAAGCAGAAGTAAAAAAAGAAAAGCAAATAATGTTAGTTTTGTGACCTTTGGAATAATGAGCAAGAATTGTTATTTCAAGGAAATTTAATAAATTTAATAAACACAAGCAAAAGAACATAATGATATCAAAGTCTTAGATTTTAAAAGAGCTGATTTTAACAAACTCAGAGAGAACTTGGGAAAGATTCCTTGAATGAAAATTCTAAAGGGGAAAACAACTCCAGAAGCTTGCAAAACTGAAAAATATGATCATAAAAGCCCAATCCAGCACAATACCACTGAAAAAGAAAATCAAGAAATCTAACATGAAACCAGCATGGCTGCACAAAGATCTGATAAAGACAAAAAGGACAAGTACAAAAAAATGGAAAGAGGACACATAAGTAAGGCAGAATATCAGCAGACAGCCAGAATCTGCAAAGAAGAAGTCAGGAAAGCAAAGATTCAGAATGAACAAAGACTTGCAACAAAAATCAAAGATAATAAAAAAAGTTTCTTTCAGCATATACAGTCAGTCCACTAAAGAGAGAAGATGGCAAGGAAGTAACAGGCAGCAGAGAGAAAGGAGAACTACTAACTCATTCTTTGCATCAGTCTTCACGCAACAAGAAATTATAGACGAACTCACCAAAAACATAACTGAAAAAGACAGACTAGAAATAAAAGTTAAAATGAACAAAAAAATGGTAAGAGAACACCTGTCTGATCTTGATGAACATAAATCACAAGGACCTGACGGACTACACCCGATCCTGAAGGAGCTGGCAGATGTCATCTCAGAACCATTGTACCATATCTTTCAAAAATCCTGGAGCACCAGGGAACTACTAGAGGATTGGAAAAGAGCTGATGTGGTTCCCATCTTCAAAAAAGGAAAAAAGAAACAGACCCAGGAAACTACAGACCAATCAGCCTAACATCAATACCTGGGAAGATACTGGAAAAGATAGTCAAAAAAACCGATCTGCAAACATCTAGAATTGAAAATCAAATTCCAAAATGAAATTCAACGTAGAGAAAAGTAAAGTCTTACACTTAGACAAGAAAAACCAAATATATATATATAGATTGGGTGAAACCAGGCTTAATAGCAGCAAGTATGAGAGGGATCTTGGAGTCTTAGTGGACAATCAATTAAATACGAGCCAACAATGTGCGGCGGCAGCCAAAAAAGTCAATGAAATCCTAAGTTGCATCAACAGAGGGATTCAATCAAGATCACATGAGATACTAATACCATTCTACCACACCTAGAATACTGGAACCAGTTTTGGTCTCCACACTATAAAAAAGATGTTGAGACTCTAGAAAAAGTGCAGAGAAAAGCAACAAAGATGATTAGGGGACTGGAGGCTAGAACATATGAAGAACGGTTACAGGAACCGAGCATGGCTAGTCTAATGAAGAGAAGGGCCAGGGGAGACATGATAGCAGTGTTCCAATATTTGAGGGGCTGTCAACCTATTTTCCAAAGCATCTGAAGGCCAGACAAGGAATAACGGATAGAAATTGATCAAGGAGAGATTCAATCTGGAAATAAGGAGAAATTTCCTGACAGTGAGAACAATCAACCAATGGAACAGACTGCCTTCAGATGTTGTTGGTGCTTCATCACTGGAGTCTTTCAAGAAGAGACTGGACTGCCACCTGTCAGAAATGGTGTAGGGACTCCTGCTTGGGCAGGGCAATGGATTAGATGACCTACAAGGTCCCATCCAACTCTGTTATTCTAAAAAAAAAGTGGCAATTGACACATGCCACACATTTTTTAATCAGACGTCTTAGAGAACATATAACCAGTGTTCGAGAGCATAAAACCAGAATTAGTTACAATTTCCTTGTTCTGCGACATGAAATTCAAGAGTTGAAACATTCATGTAATTTGGGTTTGTACTGTTATTGCTATATTTTGATCTAAGAATTATAGTACTATTTATTTATTTAGAAAATTTTCTAAATTAAGTAATTTTTTTCTAGCTATATTCCTAATAATTGAGAACTATTGAGATATCAAGAATTATGGATAATACATCATCATCACAATCATGAAAACCTACAAACATTATTTTGTCTAACTTGCTACAGTGATTATTTTTAATTAGTATGGGTCCTGCTGTTTTCTGCAACATGAATGCATAGTAATCCTGTTGTTTGATTAAACAGAATTTTAAAAAAGAATGATGCCTAATTTCTTATAGTTCTTTCCATCATGATATATTTTCATGCAATTGTTTAAATGTTTTCTTTTTTAGATCTAATACAGTGTTACTTCATGCATTCTTAAATATTATCGTCCTAATTTAAATCACGTGGTACTGAAACAATCTAAAATCTGTTCAAATTGATGCTAAGCTCCTCTTTTCTTTTAAATTTAAGACTGTAAAGAAAGGAAGAAAGGGGGAAAAAAAACCCTTTACCTGCTACTTTTTCCATACTGAACCTCTGTTCCAAGAACAAGAACAAGCTAGGCTTTTTAATTTTGTTTTTATCTTTTCCCAGGCTAGTTAAGAACATTTTTGTTTTCTTTTTTGATATAAATGTTTTTGTTCCTGATTGGATTATTTACAAATGAAAGGCTTTTGTTCCTGAATTTGAATAGCATCTTAATCTTGCAAATTGAGCACATATGGCACAGTGCTTAGCTTTAGAAAGCTGTTGATCTGGATTTAACTTCAAACAATGAATTCACCATGTGGTCTTAGCCCATCTTCCATTCTCTGAGAAGTCTCAACCCCAATCTGTGTATGGTATCCGGGATCTACTTTATGGGGATGATACTGCATCGTAATTAAATATGCAGAATTTTAATATTGGAAAACAGTTGGCTCTACCTCAATATATATTGTCTTAGCCTTACAACAGCCCTGCAAGGAAGGACAGGCAATCTTGTTAGTTCTGAGGGCTATGTCAGGTATCAGGCCACAAAATGTGTGCATGTTCAGATAAAACACATGCACAAATATTCATTGCATGTAGAACAGGGGTGTCAAACTCAATTTCATTGAGGGCTGCATCAGCATTGGGATTGCTCTTGGGGGGCCGGGCGGGTGTGGCCAGGGTGGGTGCAGCCTACTGGGTGGGCGTGGATGGAGTGGGTGTGGCCTACTGGGTGGGCATGGTCAGCTCTACATCGTTCGCATCAAGGGTGCCTGTGGGGGCCTGGGCAGGAGTGGGACAGATCTGAGGGTCTCTGGCAGAAGGGGGTGGGACCAAGGCAAGCGCCAAGGCAGGGTCCATTTCTTCATTCCTCATAAAGGGTGACACCTCCCCAGCATGCACCCAGGGGGTGGGGCCGACATAGGGGCTGGTTTCTCGCTGTTTCTAGACGGCCTTGTGGAGCTAAGACTGAATGCGTTTCAGCATAGATGGCCACCACAAAATTGTACATTGGCTCCTGGCTGGCCTGGGCCGGGGCCAAGGCAGTGGGGGCCGTTCCCTCACCGTTTCCAGGATGACTTCGCGGCCACATGAAACCACTTAGTGGGCTGCATCCGGCCCCTGGGCCTCGTGTTTGACATGTCTGATGTAGAAGCACAAACCTGACTTTATCTTGCAATAAATTAATATTATCTCCATTCTGAAGAGGCGGGGGGAGTCATAAGATACTTAGTGCCATTTTCCAGATCATGGTGTCTTCCAGATATTTAGGACTTGTTCTCACCATTCTTGAGGGTATTGTGATAGAAAAAGATGTAAATAACAAGGGAGACTTCCTTTGTTCATAATTTAGTTTTTTAACTATTTCCTTTTTTTTCCTCTCCCACACTAAATTTCTGCAATTTAGCTTGCAAGCACAAGTTCAAAAATGCAGACAGACCTTCTCCCATTCAATTGTGATTCCTGTTTGGGAAGGTTCCCCTTCCACCTGTGGCCTTTGAACCACACCTTGAAAACTTTTCCTAGGTATTCAGGTAGGAAGTGGTTAATAAGAGAGAGTAAAGCAGGATTGTCTTCCTTTCACGTAGTACAGAGATACTGTAGGAAGAAGCCTCTGATTTCATCACTCCTGCAAAAGGAATGTGGAAAAGCCGCACTGTCTGTCGTTCTTGTGTGTATAACCCAAATGGCTCATCCATTCCTCACAGATAGGGGATGTGTCCTGACATTTCTGCATCTAGTTCTCAGGTGAAATTGGGAGCAAGAATGGCAGGTCGCAGCTGGACACGTTCTGATCTCTAAAGGTACAACATTTCAAAGAAAAAGTGAGCAGGAGATTCACTTTTTGGAAAATATGAGGCATTCTTCTCCAGAATTAATATCACATTCTAGGAAAAACACTTTTCTTTAATAATCTTTTGGGGAACTCTTTAAAGAACAATTTCCTCCCTTTTCGTACTTGTTTTTCTCTACAGAAAATGCAGGCTTGCTTTGGATTGTGTTTCACAAAACTGTCAAGCTGGACGTTTTAATGGAAAACATTGAGTTCATCTTAATGCTAAGAAATTGAGGACATTTGTTCCTCAACCTATCTAGATCGCTGTCCTCTTAATGTTCACTCGAATTATGAAGATTTTTCAGCTGCCCTCAATGGACTGTGACTTGCCAGAGGAATTGTTAGATTTTTATAAAACTACAGGAATATCTTTCTGGAAACTGAGGATAAGGCACCAAGGAAAAGCATAAAGATCTGGAGACTTGAGAATTAATTGGGTTGATGTGCTACACTAGGTTCTGAATCTAGCCTGAATACAGAATTTGCTAGCATTGAGGAACAACAGTGGTGAATATAAACTCTAACTGGAGTCCAAGGATGGATCCCAATGATTTTAGATACCCTTGCAATGGCAAGCAGTCAGCACTGGATGTTCAATCCTTAGCCAATAATCCAGAACTCCTGAGTGCTACTTGGGCCACCGTAGAAGGCCTGGGTAGTAATAAATTCTGCTGTAACAGACTCCTTCAAGTCACCAAGAATCTACGAGGCATAGATAAAAAAATCCAGTGTTTTCGGGAACTTTTACAGCAAGATGGTAAGTACTAGAATTTTTTTATTTACTGGTGTGTGTTTTGTCAATTTCATCTTGTGCATTTAGTTATTAAACAAATTTATTTAGCCACCCAAATCACACACAATGACTCTGGGCCATGCACAACATTAAAAATCTGCAATTAAAAATTCACAATTTATCACCGTCCCCCACATACCCTCCACCCCATGGTGATGACAGCAGAATCAGACAAGTCACTTAATTGGCTCCAAATGGGATCTCAAAGCCTGCTGATCAAACCATGGCTTCAAGGCCTTTTAGAGAAGT